GGAGCAGTATTTTGAGTAGGGGGGATCCCCCCTTCAGGCCTCACGCAGTTGCCTTTGGCTGTGGCTTTGAAATTGGAGAATGAATGTGGAGAAACATTAGCTAGTTATGTAACATTTGTAGCCAGATACTTTTGGGATGATGCCCTTTTATCATTGTGACTGTTTGGGATAAACTGTTTCTCTGACCTGCTTGTTTGACAAGAGGAGTGTTGCAATCACTTTCCTACGCACTCTGGCTTTTGACTTGACTTACCTTGATTAACCCATGACCAAATATGCTTGTAGTTTAAGTGGTCACCAGTTTTATATTGAAATAACACACCACATCAGGTCACCTGTCTAGGAAATTTCACTGATGGTTCATAGTAACCAGATCTAGAATTCACAAATTTAAAACACCCTAATGTTTTGTTTTTGTTTAAACGGGGTTGGGGAGAAAATATCAATTGTTAAATAGTCATCACGGGGCAGTCTGTGTTACATTTAGCACCTGTAGATTAGTCTTTTGTAGATCTCAGAACACTTTACAAGGGTGGGCATCTGTTCTACAGATGTGGAAGCTGAGTCGCATGGGGGGGGGGGCGGGGAAGAGTGGGGGAGTGATCTAGAGCTGTGAATAGAAGCCGGGTCTCCCCATTCCCAGTGCAAAATGCTTTTCACTGACCCCTCTGATTGCGTGCTGAACGACGTGTCTGGCCTGGCCGTGGTCTGTGCATCCATGCTAGGCCTACAGTCACTTCTCAGCACCTTATCGTATACAGTCTTTCGGGCTGCTAATGTTGTGCTTATGTAGGCATAGAATTAAAAGACTTAGTTGTCAGTTACAGTTAGCCTTAGTGTGGCATAAAAGTGGAGAATGAAGTTTGGTGTTCTTGCGTCTGACGAAATGGGTATTCACCCACGAAAGCCTATGCTCCAGTACTTCGGTTAGTCTATAAGGTGCCACAGGACTCTTTGTCGCTTTTTACAGATCCAGACTAACATGGCTACCCCTCTGATACTTGGTTCTTTAGGTTCACAAATATGTTTTTTGTGTAAAGACATTACCTTACCTGCTCCAGTGTCTGTTTCCTTGCTCGCTACTAAAGACTTGCTTGAAAAGCACTTCCAAAGTCTTCATCACTTTTCAGGAGGGTAGTGGCAATACCTGCTGCAATTCCAATTCTTTACTGTAGGAAAAATTTAGTTGTTGTGGGGAGGGTAGAGAACATAAGGTGCAGAAAGGGGGGAGGAGAAATGCAAACAGAAAATTGCAGAATAAGATGTGCTATGATCTATTATAGAAGAGAAGGTAGAGTGAAACCAGGAAGGGAAGAGCATTATATAAAAGCAAAAGATATAGTACACTGCACTTACAAATGTGTAAACTAGGAAGCTGACAATGTTACGCTTAAGTGCAGGCCATAATAAACAGTGCACTGTTTAATACTTTAAATTCCACAGGGCATGGCAACGCTGGTATATTTACCATGTGTTGAGTAAATCTTCAAAGTCCTGCCTGTTAACCTAAGAGAACAACCTTCCCAGCTAGTAGAATGAGAATTTCATAACCAAGTTCTCTCTTTCCTTTTGAAGTAGGATTATGAGCAGCCACTCTCACTGTGGTTGTGAATTTTCATCCATATTAACGAGTTAGAACATTTTCGATATTTAATTTCCTTGGTGAACTGGCGCATTGAGAATTTCCCTTAAAAGAGCCTTAATTGCAGTGAAGCAGGATTTACTGGAAACCTCCCATTTGATTGTCAGGGAAAGCAAAACAGTATTTTTTTTTCTGTAGCTGAATTGCAGCATTACATAGCTCTTAACCTCCCCTTTATCCGTTCCAGCATCAAGAATAAATAGTGCTGTCCATGTACTGGCGAGCTTTCTTGCCATTAATAATAGTTGGGATTTGGATGTGGGAGTGGTAGGGGAGTTCGGTCTTCACAATCTGTAATTTCGTACCTTTCACCGCCATGACAGCCCTTCAAGAAAAAACTGAAGTGTTCTATCCATCCACTGTTAAGCAAAGCCAGTATGGGCTTTTGGTTGTAGTTTAGATCACTGAGTAGACCAGGATTATGACTTGTAGGAATTTCACCAGCTAAGTTTACATTCTTGCTAGCAAACAAGATGAGATTCTTGCAGGACTTGCATGGCTCATGTCAGATGGCAATGAAAATGGCACTGGAATTGTTTTTAGGAAGTTGCTAATGTTTGAGAAGACGCTGACTCTTTTGGGAAAGATCCAGTAAACCCAAACTGTGAAACTTGTAAAATACACCAGACCTAGTGATAGTTCTGCTTTTAGGTAGTCTCTCTGTCTCCTACTAGTTAACAAGGCCACTTGTTGGAAACCAGGATCTTTGTTCCATTGGATGATTTTTCCCAACTTACGTCGTGATTTCTGTGTATGACGATCCGTGTTTCCACGAGTTCAGACTGAATTGTCACCTCTGAGATACTACAGTGATGAGCATTTGAGAATTTTGGGGCATCAGGAGCAGGTGACCTGGAGGAAGAGAGAATGTTATCCCACAAATATCCTGACTAATAAAGAACAAAACAGAAAAATGTCATTTGGGCAGAATTGTCTTGATGATTTGGGGAACCTATGTAGAACTTAGGAATTCTGATAGATTCTATGAAGTTATTACTGGGGTTCACAGAAAGGGCGCGTTTAAGCTACAGGGATAGTCTGAGGGGTCAGCACTGGTTCTGAGGGCTGGGCAGGGGGCCATGTGATTACAGTTGTTGGGGGGAGGGTGGCCAAAGAGAAGATCCACACCCTAAGAGTGCACCTAGAGACCTTAAGACAGTGGCAGTACCTGGACTCTGTTCAGACTGTAGTGGCTTAAAACACCTGCAGAATTCGGTGGTGGCATCCCCACATAGCAGTCTGGTGAGTGGCCAAAAGAGGCGCTCAGCTGGACCTGTGACATCCCTGCGTGTTCCCCCCCTCCCCCCAATGCAGTCTCTGACTTCAGATGACAGTATCCAGTTTAATCTAGCTGCATTGCTTGCTGCAGAAAGTGTGTGGCCTGACATTAGCAGCCCCCTGGCTGGCTTTGTAGGCAGGTGAAGTTCTTTAGTATAAGAACCAGCTGTTCTCCAAACTACAGGCTGTGACAACATTGCTTCTTGCCTCTCCTGAAGGCCTGTAATTTCCTGAATCACAGATCAGCTGCAAAAGCCTATTGCTTTTAACATGTCCCTGATGATATTATCAAACGAGACACAGGGTAGCATTAAAAGCAGTATAATGTCTGATAGACTGGTGGGAGGGACATTGGATCATTTGTGGGGTGGGTCCACATTTCCAGCTTTGAGTTCACAAATCTGCAGAATTGCTGCATACATTCAGTTGGCTCTTGCCCAGCACTAAAATAGCTTGTTTTGTGCTAGGCTGGAAGTGCATTCCTGGAAGCTTTGCTGTCTGCTCACTAGCTAATTGTACTCCCTCTCATCTCCCATCCTAAACAACTAGGGCTTCATCCTGCTCGTGCTGATGTCAGTGGCAAGCTTCCACTCACATCAATAGAAGTTTTTAGGGAGGGGAATCTGTTTTCCCTCTTGTCCCCTTCCTGTCTTTATTCAACTCGCTTCTCATAGCAAGAGACTGTTCACATTCATTCCTGCAGTAACCCAAGTCAACCTTCCAAAACACATGTGGTCTTGTGTGTGCTCTGTCAAGCTACATTGCATACCCTAGTAAAACATGTATGTACATAGATCATATGTATAGTAAGAACATAATTGAGTTGAGCCAGGCAGATGTCTGCTTTCTCTCATTTGGCCTATAATTGAAATCAGAGTACAGAGCAAGTTCTTAGGAATAGATACCGATAACAGGCAGCAGTAGTTAATCATAAATTCAAGGAAGCTTGATCGACACCGTCCCTGGTGTGAGGGTGGGTTTCAGATCAGATGGCTTCCCTGGGGTTCTTTAAGGACATACTCGGTATCAGATATCTAGCAGGTGCGGGGACCTATCAGGTGCTTTAATCTTCTGCTAAAGGAATCTGGTGTCTGATTTTTGGCAGGTGCATTTGAGGTTTTCAGAGTGTGGATTTTCCCTGCTGAGGACTATGAGGGTCTCTGCAGCTGATTTGCTTTTGGCACTAAGCTCTGTTTTTGTTGCTGTTTGATATGTTTTCCCCTCTTCCCTTGGTGTTACAGGATTTCTTTCATTGAATTGTTTGCTAGTACTTGTCTGCTATATTTTTAGGAATTCAAGTTTAATGCTTGCCTTCTGAACCTGCACTGAAGTCTCTCATTTCCTGCTTTAAAGTTACTTTTAAAATTTTGAAAAGGCTTTTATGATCCCTGTATCACTAACAGAATGTATTGAAAACAAAATAGTCAAAGGCATCTGCAAAGAATGGACCAATTTCAGTCTGATTTATTTGCAAGTGTATTTGTACATGCAGACACGTTACATTCTCTTAACAATTCGGGGCTATGAAACAGACTTATTCTTTTAAACTAATCTTAGCTGTAGATCTTTCAGGACTCTGAAATGTGGCCATTTTCCGTGAGTCTTAATAATCCCTTTTGCTTGTTGGACAAATTAGTGGGAGCAAATAAGTCCTAGTTGCAATGTTAGTTTGCTCTACTGACAAAGATTCCCAGTTTGGATGGGTTATTTTCCCCACTTCATGCCACCACCTATTCTATGTGTAAGTGTCTGTAATTTATCAGCAAGGAATTGTCACAATATATTGCCAGCAGCCATCACTTGTAAAATGTACTAGGGAATCTGAGAATCTAGTCTGGAAAGAAATGCCATCTAACTTTCCTCTAGTGCTTCTGGGGAACAGCAACAAGAATATTTGCTAACAAATACAGCAATTTGCAAGATTGTTCTTTAAATAAAATAGATTGGATTGAATTTAAAGCTGCCTAAATTCTTGCTGCAGTTGTAGGTAACCTGGAGCTCTGTGGACAGGCCAAAACCTTTTCACACAATCACTCATTTTATTACCTCTTAACCCCTTTCTGTCTGTCACTGCAGAGTATGGCGTCTGTGAGAACTTACGGAAACTGGAGATCACAGGAGTGTCCTGTCGAGATGTCTATGCCAAACGTAAGTAGTGAAGTCAGTGCAGGTCTGTATGCTCCTGTTCTTGTTTAGTTCCATTTTTAAAAGTGAATTTGCACTGAATCTTTACCCTGGGTATTTGAAACAGACTCTGTATTTCGTGGCAGAGATTTCATCTCTAAAGCTGTAACGAGTTTGACTACCACAGCGCTTTAATGCCAGACAGATATCAAGAATTGCTGTTGCCTCTCAATACCCCTTTGATTGGAAGAAACCACAGAGTCTGAGGGTTTCTGGAAATAGCTATTAGTTTGTGGCTAGCGTGTTTAGCAACTGGTAACCGCTCACCTAAATCTGAGGACAGTTTTTAATCTGTCAGTAGTATTTTAAAAGTATCCTCAACTGTTTGGTTTGCCCCTTTCTGGCCAGTGGGTAACTTGTATTCATCAGAGCAGGCTTTATCTTTGTATAGTCCTCTGAAACAATGTTCCACTCCTTTCCCCCAGTGTAAGCAGTTTCTGTCCACCATCACTCTACTGTGCCTGGGCTTCCCCTTAGGGGAAGGTCAGGGCAGTGATTCTCTGTGGAACACCTATTGCAACTTGACACACACAGAGGGGGATGGGGAGGTTATCTGTTCCTTTACTCTCGTCACCCTGCCCCCTACATTCCAAACCACCTCATGCAGGAGAAAGGGGACCCGACTGTCCTGGGTCTATACAGAAGTGCCAACACTTGTGTGATCCGTGGTGCCTGGGGCAGCCCTCACTGGAAATGCCAAGGTCAGAGCAGGCTGCAAAAGGGAGAGCAGATATTCCCAAGACTGGTGGGTAACACTGAAGTTAAACTCCCCAACCAGTCTCAAACTGTGCTTCTCATCCTCCACACAGGTTATCAAGAAGCAAAAAAGAAATCACACCGCCCCCTTTATTGCATTCCAGTTCTCTGGCTCCCAATCACCACCTAGGTCCGGTTCAGTGAGAAGTTATTTAAAATAACTCTGCTCACATATACAGAATGTTCTTCTCGCCCCAAAGGGTCAGCCATGTTACCAGGTCAGTATAGGTTTGGATCTTACCCAAAATACCACTCTGCCAGCCAATCCTTTAGTGTCGAAAACTAAAGGTTTATTATAAAGAAAAAAGAAAGAAGAGAGATGTTAAATGGTAAAACAGTCACATACATCCAAAGACTTCAAAGTCCATATATCAGGTTCCTAGCAGTATTGGTGACTTTGCTGGCTTGCAAGTCCCTCTGGAACACATCCACAGCTTGGATGGGTCATTCAGTCCTTTGTTCAGAGTGTCAGTTTGTAGCAAAGTTCCTCCAGAGGTAAGAAACACGATTGAGGACATGGAGAAGATGCAGCTGCCCTTTATAGTCTTTTGCCATGCGGCCTGTGCTTTCTTTGTTTCAAACACAAGCTGCCCAGCACATGGCTTAAAAGCTTTAGAGTTCTGTCCATAGGCATGTCCCTGTGTGCCTTGCTGAGTCATAAGGTGTATCTGCCGTCTCTCAATGGGTCAGTTGTATAGCCAATGGTCCTTAATGGGCCATCAAGCAGGCTAGGCAGTGCTGATGCCAAACTGTCTGGGGGTGTCACCCAAAGTGTAGCACAAGTTTGAAAAACAGACAGACGTATTTATCTATAACTCATAATACAAACACATACATGAGATGATCATATTTGGCAAATTATAACATTTTTGCAGATACCTTACATGGCCTAACTCATTACACTTTTATAATGATATTCATAATATCCTCGAGTGTCCCCCAGATTCCATACAGCGTCACAACTCGTCTCCAGGACACCTCTCCAAATAAGCAGCCGCAGCCCATGCGTTATGATGAATGTTGCCATTTGCATGTGTGTGCTTTACAAACACAAATTCCGTGGTCAGCACAAGCCCCCTGGGAGGTAGGGGAGTTTCATCCCCATTTTACAGGGGGTGGGGGAGAACAGGCAGATTAGGGATTTGACCCCAAACTGGCATTTGAATATAGGAGTCCCCTGCTTAGCAAGATCAAGCTGCCTCTCGTGCTAACGGGTCAGAGGCTACATTGGCTGTTTATCACAGGAGCTGGTTCAGATGCAGGTACCAGCTGGGAGAGCACTTGCGACAGCCCCGGCAGCAGCCTGGATGACACAAGCCCCGCAGTAGTGAATTGATCTGTCCTTGGGAGCCAGGCGTTTCCTGCGTCCCAAAGGCTGATGCTGAATCGGTCTAGCAGGGGATGGAACAACCCAGGATCTTTAGGAAATCAGCAGTGACAAACCATTGGCTCCAGTGGTTGGTCTACGGTCCCGCGGCCCTTTACAAGAAGCAGGGCTCAGCTTGTTAAAAATGAAAGCGTTTGTCTTCGTAGGTCACCAGAGTGAGAGTCCTGAGTGCGCTTTGCTGGCCCCAGGATGTCTGGCTCCTTGCAAATGGACCTTGTGCTTTATCTGACTGTCAGAGGCGGTGGTGGCCTGGTGCATTGAACCTCGTGTTGGGAGCCCGGAATCCTGAATTCTGATCCCAGCTCTGAGACCATTGCTGTGTGGCCTTGACCCAAGTAACTTCACCTTCCCATGCTTCAGTTACCCTATCTGTAAAATGGGAATGGTACCACTTACCTCCCTGGGAGACCATGCAGGGGAACTCGAGTGTATGCAATGCTTTGAAAATGTCTGTAAGGAAACCTCAGTCACGTCAGACCCTTCTTTGCTGTGCAGTGTGGCTTTCATCATAGCCAGAATGGTGGTATAGTTACAAATTATCTATTAATCATGTACCTGATATGGTCCTGTTTTTGCAACTTTTCCCACTGCTTCTTTACACTTCAAAGTGCCTCTTAATATGTTTAACATCTTTAGTCTCCTTCCACTGCAATAGGTCCCTGGTGAGCATTTAGCACCGTAGAACATAGTGTTTTCCCTGTAGAAAGCATGCCATAGACTCTATTCCATTTGTAAATAAAGAATCTCTTACCACACATCTGAATCCTGACCTGTGCATTTCTCCAGACTTCTGCAGAGTCAGAACATTTGTCAGCTCATTCCTCCTTTCCTGAACCTTACCCTGGTTTGCAGGGATATGAAATCCTTGGCTTGCCATCAGTTTAGATTCAACAAACATCTCTGTTTACAAACCTACTGGTACTTTCCTGCTCAGCTTTCCTGAAAGGCTTGCCCGGCGGTGTGTCCTCAGTCTCTAGTGTCATGCAGAACTCTTTAGTTTCAGCAACATTTATTTGGAACTCTTGGCAGAATTCAGGCTTGAAGGTGCAAACAATGAATGTTTGTTCTATTCTACATGCTACACTAAGACAATGGGGAATAAAGCCAAACCCAAGATCTTAGAGGGCATAATGAAACCGATGCTAGATGGCGTTTTGAAAACAATTAGCTGGATTGAAGAGTGAAAAGAGCAAAAAGCCTTTGGTTGCTCTTGTCTTGCGTAGACTGAGGCCTGGTCCACACTAACCCCCCACTTCGAACTAAGGTACGCAACTTCAGCTACGTTATTAACGTAGCTGAAGTCGAAGTACCTTAGTTCGAACTTACCGCGGGTCCAGACGCGGCAGGCAGGCTCCCCCGTCGATGCCGTGTACTCCTCTCGCCGAGCTGGAGTACCGGCGTCGACGGCGAGCACTTCTGGGATCGATCCCAGAAGATCAATTGCTTACCGCCGGACCCGGAGGTAAGTATAGACCTACCCTACGATAAGCTCAGACTTCACTCGGAATTTGTTCGGTGACATCGATAACTTATGAGGGAATCATAAAATGTGCCGAATTCTTCTGAGTGGCTGATTTGGGCTGGGGGCTGAAGAAGTGTGCCTTAAGTCAACAAGGGACTTGACCTTCCTGTCTGGTTGGTTCAGATTAACGTTATGTGATGGTCAGAGGGGAATCAACTTCTCTGGTACTTACCCTGCTGTGTCTGTCCAGGTATAAATCCACGAGTGAAGTCGGGGCGTTTTATGAAAATCCTTCCCGACTACGAACACATGGAGTACAGAGATGTTTACACCTGCCGTACGTACCTCCCATTAGCCAACGCTTTCTGCACTGAGCACACACGAGGCGCTGCATGGCGTGTGAAGTTACTGCGAGCAACTACCTCGGGGGCAGAATAAGGAGAGCTGTCATCCAGGCTTTCCCATGACTTGGTTCTCATGCACTTTGTTCTGACCCTCTAAGGTGACACCTTAGGTAGTTGTAACATAGGGATAATAGCACTCACCCCTCTGGTGAAGTGCTTGGAGTTAGGAGAGCATCCTATCCAGGGTTGGCACTGGTGGAAACTAACTAGGCACAGGTAGCAAATGCTTTCCAGGGCAGTGGGCTTGAGTGTACTGTGGAGGTAACACATTCCAGCTTGCCATTAGGGGAAGGAGGAGAGCTGCTTGCATTGCTCTTGGGACCAACTCCATCCAGCTCCAGAAATGACCCTAATAGGCTCTAGATCCACGGTTCTCAACCTATTTACCATTGTGGGCCGCATCCAATACTACCTATATGGCCCTGAGGATGTCACATGGGCCACAGCTGTGTGCTGACTGGTCCGCAAGCTGAGAACCACTTCCCTAGATAGACAAAACTAGGAATATGAGTGTTATCAGTTAGCTTTTTCTTGGGTGTGGGCAGAGACATCCCCTTTATTTGTCCCTCTGGCTGAGTCTAAGTGAAAGTTTCCCATAGATTTCTCTGAACTGTAGTCCCCTCTCTCTGATATCTAAGGGGGAGATCACTGGACTTCAGCAGCCCAGGAATCACTGCTGGAGGCATGTCATTTACAGAGGGGAATTCCTTCTTGCTCCCTCCCCCCAATAAAATAAAAAGCACTCTGGACTTCAGGATTTTTATTTAATCCTAACAAAGGGAAGTTTCATAAGAACGGCTATACTGGGTCATACAATGACACTATCTAGCCCACTTTCCTGTCTTTGGACAGTGCCCAGTGCCAAATGCTTCAAAGGGAATGAATGGAACAGGGCAATTGAGTGATCCATCCTCTGTCATCCAGTCCCAGCTTCTGGCAATCAGAGGTTTAGGGACTCAGAGCGTGGGTTTGCATCCCAGACCATCTTGCCTAATAGCCATTGATCAACCTATCCTCCTCCTGTAGGGAGAGATCCTGAAATGTAACCTTGATAGAATGTGAACTCTGCCGGTGTGTGAATGAGCGCTGGGGGTCTCCGCTTACGTACACCCTGAAAATCTGAACCTGTTTAGGAATCAAAATTATGCTAGAAAGCCCCATGATCCCGCTGCTCATGGGACCTTTAAACTCGAGTTTCCTTGGGTGCATGTAGCTTAGTGAAAATACTGAAAAAACAACGAGGAGTCCTTGTGGCACCTTAGAGACTAACAAATTTATTTGGGCATAAGCTTTCATGGGCTAAAACCCACTTCATCAGATGCACGGAGTGGAAAATACAGTAGGCATTGGGAATGGATGGGTCACTACAGAAACTAAATACTAATTTCCCCATGCTAATTTCCCCCTACTGTTACTCTCACTTTCTTGTCAACTGTTTGAAATGGGCCACCCTGATTACCACTATAAAAGTGGTTTTTCCTCCTGTTGATAATAGCCCACTTCCACTTTAATTGAATTGTCTCGTTAGAACGGACCCCCCACTTGGTAAGGCAACTCCCATCTTTTCATGTACTGTGTATATATATCTTCCTACTGTATCTTCCACTCCATGCATCTGATGAAGTGGGTTTTAGTCCACGAAAGCTTATGCCCAAATAAATTTGTTAGCCTCTAAGGTGCCACAAGGACTCCTCGTTGTTTTTGCTGATACACACTAACACGGCTACCCCTCTGAAACCTGAAAATACCGAGTGACCCTGTAGTAATCAGCTGTGGTTGGCTCACAGGCAGTACATTAGGGATCACCTTTACCTTGGCGCCTTCTAGTGCAGCCTGCAGTCCAAACATAACCCCGAGTTCTGTGCTGTAGTTAGGCTTGGAAAGGTTGGTGTTTTATCAGTAAATGATCTACCAGCCGCATGCAAACCAATGAAAAAATATTTCCAATGATGCTGATAGAAATTTACAGATAGGCAAAGTAAGACAAAAGGTTGCTTGAGAATTTCTTAGAGTTTGACTGAAGGGTATTTACTCTGTATATTTTGACATGTGATGTTAACATTTTGTGTGTTAACTTGCAGTGTAGCTTTTTGAATCTCAACATCTGTTGTCATTAAATAAAGATTGTCCGACCTCCCCATAATTTCCTGTGACTGTGAAAATTTAACTTGATGAAAAATGCTTAAAACCCAAAATTTTGCACGGTTGTGAAAATTTAAACAGATACAAATAAAAAGCTTAAAAATATTGATAACAGTCAAAACTGTAAAAAAGACAAACAAAAAAACAAAACGAACCCACCCCCCGGTATTTTGCTAAGCCTAGTTAGTCCATGGCCACCTTTGCTTTCAATGGAGAGAGTGTTCCGATACCATGATGAGGGATGCAGTATAAGAACCTGAATAGATCTACAGAGATTGTAGGCTCCTGCTTACCACACTCAGACTTGCTCTGAATGATGTGATCTATGTCACTTTATCCAAATCAAGTGCCATCCTTGTGCTATCGGAAAACTACCAATTCAGCCTTTATTGTTGCAAAATTTGAGAGTCCCAGTACTATCTGCTCTGTTAGCACACTTCCCAGTATGCCAGAATACCTTTCTGTGCCCTGCGCTGCGAACAGCTCTAAAGAGAGCAGGTCTCCATAGTATTTCAGAGCCTGTGATGTACATCTCCAATGGAGCAGCTACGCCCAACAAAGAGTCCTTTCTCCATGAGTGTACGTAACTCTCATCATGGTTAAGGGAAGAATAGCAAGGCCCGAGGGTCTAATGCTCTGGGTCTGGAACATGGTGGGACTTTGATCTAATGAATGAAATTGAGTGAGAGAAACCAGTTTTGCTTTGTCCTGGGGGGTATGTCTAAAGCCACCTCTGCTATCAGTGTGGGGGTGATAGCATGGTTATTTTGCAGAGGAGGGTAATGCAGGATGGAGTTACTAACTCACTGGCGCTTGGGAGTGCGGTTTCATGGCATGTGCTAACATGTGGTGTGGATGCTATGGACTCACCTGCACTAAAGCCTTAAAGGCAGCCATTGGGTTTCAGCCTACGAGGGTTTGAAGCAGCCCTGGAGCTGATGACTTCAGCGTGAGCTAAGATGAGTGAAGTAGCCTGGCAAGCAGTGACTGTTTCATAACAGGAACCTATGGTCATCATGTCTGAGTTGGACCCTCTGATGCACCCACCAGCCCAGGTCTCCACCTGGAATGAAGTGAAACGGGGACACCAAGCTGCCCAGCAGGAATCCGAATTGCTTTACTGATTTAGTGAATAACTGATCTAGCGAGTGTGTCGTTTTCAGCAGCTCTGAAGTTGCATTTCAGGCTGTTTCCCCAATGGTGAACTTCTTGGTTGTTCCCCCACCCTCCCAAATGACCGACGTCTGATGCCTGTTTCCTCTGTAGGTGAGACTTAAAGAACTGCAGACACAGCTGTGACGGGTCATTGATTTAGCTTCCTTTCATTCATTCCCAACTCCCCTTGCTCTGGAGATTGCAGATTTCACAGAAAACTCCAGGACCTAGTATTTGTGTTTAAAGTCACCAGGTGGTAGAAGCCAGATGCTGGTGATGAGAGAATATTTAGTTAGCGTTCATGGCATCTGAAGTGGTCCCCATCCCCTTCTGAAGAATATCTCCAGGGCTATAACAGCATCGCTGTGCTGTTCTCTGGGGCATGCCCCAGCTGCGTAGATCTCGCTTGGTTGAATTGCATGGGATGGACTCAGTAGCATTCTCTATATTTCTCTTATCTCATAATAGCTGGATAACGCTGATATTGGAGCTTACCAAAGCAAACTCCCTCCTAAGGGAGTTGGGGGACTGTGCCTCCTCCTGCCCCTTCCCTGACTGAATACAATCCCTTTTTCAAATGGCTTCTTATCTGATGGCTGCCTGACGTCCTGTGAATGGTGGGTCATGGTCAGTTTCCAGCAGATGCATCCGTGGGTTTGTCTACATGAGGGAATAGCTATCCTGCTTTAAACTCTCACTCCAGCTCACTTCACAATAGTGTCCCTGTGTGGACAAGCCCTCTGTTGCAGACATTGCCACAGTTGATGCTAATTGGCCATCCATTGTTGGCTACCTGAATGAGCTGCTGAGACTGGACACATCCATCACCCTACTGGAGGTAACCTCTCCTGACCAGGGGCAGCATGCATTGGAGCCAGAAAAGCTGACCCTGGCCCAGGACAACCAGAAGGAAATCCTTACACAGAGCCCCTTGATGGGGAGAGGGGCCTATATCCCAAAGGGACCCCTTCTTAGGGAGCATCTCTATCTCCCCCAGCTCTTCGGAGGCACAAAGAGAGGAGGGGAGCCCATTGGAAAGGAGAGAGGTATGGTTCTTCCATCAGAATTGGGAGAGAGCTGGCAGGCTCATCCCTAATCTCCCTCATTTGTCGGAGTCAGAGCTGTAACTAACCAGGTCTTGACTGCAGGGAATGCACCTGCTGAGCTGACAGGCTCAGGCATTGCAGCGCTACTCAAAATCTGCAATGAAGCCATCACGGTAGGAAGCCCAAAGGTTAGCATTTTCCTGGAGACTTCCTTTTAAAAAATACAAAGCGCCCCCCCCCCCCCCCATGCAGACCATCCGCTCTCCACCGAGACACTTTGCCTGCCTCCAAAGGGGGTTGTTGGAAAGTTCCAGGGAGAGGGTGTGGAGACTGCAGTTAACTTTCAATGCTGCTCAGGTTGCAGGTTCTCTCTGGGAACAGTCTATTCCCATTCAGCTGATTAGGGAGTTTTCTGGCTCTGAACAGCTGTTAAAAAGTTCTTCACGTTATTGGCGAGAGAAGGGCATCTAAGCCTCTGACTGCTCGGTTAGATTCGCCTGCCGTTGGAAGGCTGAACAGATTTTAATCCAAGTTCAAGGGTGATTGTGTCAGACTCACTGATCTGAATGTTGCTATGACTCAGCCACTTTCCCTAAGCAAACATGGCCTTCCTTGAACTAATCTGTAGCTGGCTGATTACCCAGAAACGGAGTTTATGAACCCTGTTCAGTACAAGTCTCTCCTCTTTCGGACAGGCACTTTCTTGTATTTAAAAGTCTGGCATTAAGACAAGTCTGTTATTTGTAGCATTAACCCGGAAGATGGTTCTAATGGAAGAGCTTTTCTTCCTCCAGTTCAGTGCTGCCTGCGTTCAGCAGCTGTCAGGTTTTCAATTCTAATCTTAAAAGCCACTGGCATTTATCAGCTGGGAACACAAACAGGGTGGAGGAGGCAGGTATCAGTGAGTGGGGTTTCTTGTGTATTAAATGGTATGTGCATAGTAACTGCCCTTAGACTATTTTAAATCGGATCCACTTTGTATCCTTCATGCAGTTTGCTATTTGCGCTTGACTCCATGGGCTGAGTGACATTGGGCCAATCATTCCTATTTCTCGTTTCTCCTGTGTCACTTTCCAGTTCTTCCCTAGCCATGGGGCTGTTTGGGATTTAAACAGCCCTCGGCAGTGTCCTTGATCCCAGATATGGCTCTTTGCTTTGGCATTTAAATAATGAAAATATTCTTGTTTAGTTCTATACAGTTACTTTTTAACACGTCCACGTTGGGCTTAAACTCTTCCAGTAACAGGATTCACTCCAGCTCAGTCTGGCCTAGGTAAATTAAAAACTGCCAGTCTGAATTTGTCTAGCTTCAACTTCCAGCCATTGGATCATGTTAGACCTTCCTCTGCTAGGCTGAAGAGCCCATTATAAAATATTTGTTTCCCATGTAGATACTTACAGATCAAGTCACCCCTTAACCTTCTCTTTGTTAAGCCACACAGGTTGAGCTCCTTGAGTCTATCACTATCAGGCAGGTTTTCTAATCCCTTAATCATTCTCATGGCTCTTCTCTGAACCCTCTCCAGTTTATCAACATCCTTCAATTGTGAACACCAGAACTTGATGCAGGATTCCAGCTGTGGCCATACCAGTGCCAAATACAGAGGTAAAATAACCTCTCTACTCCTACGATGGCACCGCTGCCTGCGATGGAGAGGGGTGGACGAGGTGACCCAGGAGGTCCCTTCCAGTCCTTTGTTCACGTCAGGCCATTAAATATACTCTCATATTATGGGTCAGCTGTTGCTTATCTTTAGAATCTGAGATGAACAGATCTGTATTCTCTACGGAAGGCAGGCATATGATGTAGTGGATACCTTCAGTTCCTTATGACTCCTGTCTGCAGCAGGCTGTATGTATCAGTGTTCAAAGAATCACTTGTGTTTGCAGTTTGTGGAAAACTTTCCTACTTCTGCCCCCTTTTTCGGTAGGCTTTAAATCTTAACTAGCTCTGAGATGAGGATCCAAAGTACAAGATATGCTCCAGTACACGATGCTTGGGAGCAGCTTTGAGGAAATGTTGAAATGCAGTAACCTATTGAGATTTCTCCAAGGTCCTCTGTATGTGTTGAATCTGTAATGACACCGTCTTCTGGATGCTGTGCTCAGGAACTATGGGGCATGTGTGCTGCCATCTTAATGGCTGAATCCGACGAGGATCAGGTGCTTAAGTGGAGGCAGGGGAGTGCGTCTGTCTGGTAGGACAAGAAGGGGATGGTCTCTTAAAGCAAACGCTGTTTGCTTTCCCTGCTCTCCCGTACTTATAAGTTTCAGATCCCCCCGCATTCACGCCTCTATGAAATCGGAGGTTTCTGGTGTCGAGAACATCTTGTGGTCAGGGAGGTGGATAGTCTGCACTTGTAGGCTCCAAGCAGAGCATGTGATGCCTATCGACAGATCTCAATGAGAGGATTTTCTGATGGAAAGTTATTTGCTAGTTGGATCCTTGGATCTCTGCCTTCGTAAATCCTTGAAAAGCTAGCTCTTGCCACTGCTCCCGGCCGGGCGTGAAGCTGTGCAGGAGAATAGTGTGCGTTTGCAGTCGGCTTCATGTAACAGCTTTTTGAAAGTTTTCAGAATTGGCCCCTCTCACTGGGTTTGGGAGAACTGGGATTCTCTCTCCCAACCCCAGAAAGGACCCTGTTTGAGGGGGTGTCGGTCAACAATCTGTGTAGTTTTATGGCAGCCTCCTCATCTCCCCTCAAATCCCTCTTGCTGCGTTCATTGTGAAATGTCTTGCTTTGTCTCCTATTCCCTAGTGCTGCACCGATACCGACACATCTTGGGACTGTGGCAGCCAGACATTGGGCCGTACGGGGGACTGCTGAACGTGGTGGTGAGTACAGAGATGTCCCTGAGGTTTGTTGCATCAGCTTCTGGCAACAATTTCATACAAGCTCCTTTAAAACTTTTATGTTTCTGCCTTTTGGCATAAGTTGGCATTCACTGCGTTGCATTAGGAAGAGTTTGGTAAAGACGCTGCATATGCAGGTCACTTGGCTGCCTCATAGCCTCGTTGCCACAGTATTTGATACGTTTACCTGCATAGTGACTAGTCCCTGAAGAGCAGTACGTCAGACATGATACTGACAGCGGGGCTGATCCAAAGCCACTGAATTCAGTGGGAATGTTTCCACTGACTTCAATGAGCTTTGGGTTAGGACCACAGTGAGACCAAGTCTAGAGAAGCAGAAGAGCTGCTGAATGGCCTTTGCCTCTCTGGATTTAGGATTATTGGGATTACTCTGAGAGGCTGAGGAGAGAGGCTTGCCTGATGCCCTCTGATATTCTCCGGCACCTCTGCACCAAGGATCATGGGTTGGCCGGCTTAACATACTAAACCCATTGAGTTTGTTAAGCTTTGACCCCAAGCCTCTCTTGTAGAAATGTGTGTTCCAGAACCTGATATCAAGGGCATCTGGCTGCAGCAGTGTGACCGTACCAGAGCTCCACGGGGAGTGTACAGGGGGAGGGCAGTTACGGAGTGATCCACCCCGTCTCTCACTCATGGCTTCTGGCAGTCAGATATTTAGGGTCGCCCCAAGCATGGGGTTGCATCCCTGACCATCTTGGCTAATAGCCCTCAATGGACCGATCCTCCATGAACTTATCTAGTTCTTTTTTTTGAACCCAGTTATGTTTTTTTGCCATCACAACATTCCCTGGCAAGGAGTTCCACCGGTTTAGTTGTTCACTACGGCTAGCTTGTGAAGAGAGACCGCAGTGCCGATCTCTCCTTATGTCTTCGGGAGAAATCTCCATTACAGAATACTTGCTCTTCAAAGCCGCTTTCCCTTTGTGGGGTGAGGATTCGATGAGGTTTGCAGGAAGAGAGGGGGGAAGAAAGGCTGGCTCTTTCACGCGTCTTAGCAAGTGAAGGGGATCATTGCTTTCCTTACTGGCAGTGAGTAATAGCGCACAACAATTCATCATCCAAAAGCCAGACATAATTATGGAGACTAGAAGTCCTCCCTGTAAGAGAATCACTGGCAGCATGAGCTCGTCACAAACCAATCAGCGCTTGACTAGCCTCAGCATAATCTCGCTCTCCAGAGCCCAATGCGTATCTGGCACCAAGCTGCTTGCAGTAATAGACGTGAATGCTTATCCCATGAAACAAAGCCCTATAAAGGGTGGTTCTTCCCCCTCACAGAGGCTGCACTGTGTCTATTTGGGCTGGGATCTGGGCACCGGAAGGCAGCTGTCTAGCACTGGAAATGCATCTGATTGTTGAGAACAGCTCCTCAGTGCCTTGGGGGAGAGCCACCTTACTCCCTAACTGGAGAGGTTCTGGGGCTGAGGCAACAGCTGCTGCCCAATGAATGAAGACGGGGGAGCATTGACTCCATTTGCTTCTTCCACCTCTTCACAGGTAGATGGCTTGTTTATCATTGGCTGGATGTACTTACCCCCTCATGACCCTCACGTGGATGACCCAATGAGGTTCAAGCCCCTTTTCCGGATTCACTTAATGGAGAGGAAAAGTGCGACTGTCGAGTGTATGTACGGCCACAAGGGGCCCCACAATGGCCATATCCAGGTGAGCTCCAGCCTGTGCCTCTCTCCCCTCCCCACACACAGGTGAGTCTGGCTGCTTAACCTGGGCACCGCACGCTGAGGAAGAGTTTGTATTCCACGGGCCTGTAAACAAAAGTACCCAGTGGTAGAGAATGTGACATCACTACCGTGATGGGTCACGCGAAAGGCTTTTCTCTGTCCATCTCTCAATCGGCTTTCCTTTAGTGACCGCAAGGGATCGTTTAGGCCAGTGGTTCTCAACCAGGGGTACGCGTACCCCAGGGGATACTTCAACTCATCTAGTCTTACAAAAAGCTACATAAAAAACGCTAGCAAAGTCAGCACAAACTAAAATTTCAGACCGACAATGACTTTTTTTTATACTGCTCTATATACTATACACTGAAATGTAACTACAATATTTACATTCCAATTGATTTCTAATTCTGTGGTAAAAATGAGAAAGTAAGCAATAGTGTGCTGTGAGACTTTTTTGCATTTTTATGACTGATTTTGTAAGCAAGGAGTTTTTAAGTGAGGTGAAACTTGGGGATACGCAAGACAAATCAGACGCCTGAAAGGGGAACAGTAGTCTGGAAAAGTTGAGAGCCACTGGTTTAGACCATCTCCTGGTCAGTTCTGATCTCTAGGCTGGTCGCACATTGAGGCCTTGCTTTCAGCTGGTGCCCCTGCATTGGTGAGGATGGATCAGCCAGCATCGGGCAGTCAAGGGAAGGGGTGTATAAAAATGGTCCCATGCACTGACGTGTCCAAGTAGGCACTGTGACCAGTCATCCCCTGTAGGGGCCTTGGGGAGGGTACTTGGGATAAGCCATGGGGTAGGTGGGATGTATAAGGAACAAACTCGAGGGAGATCCTGCTTCTTGAAACGAGGCTCAATTGCAGAAGGCAGCTTGACATTGGGATTCTCCCTTGGAATGACGCCCACTCGCTCCCTTTCCTCAGAGCATGGAGCTGCTGCATTAAGAGGCTGAAGCACTTGACCTCCGTTATCTTTAGCGGTCACCTATCGAGTCCCGCTGCCTTGTCATTGCAGCCAGGAGGGGCTGGCAAACTGCGTAAACCTTGCCGTCCAGCGTGTCGTGTTAGGATTCTGTTTGAGGCAGCCTTTGTTACGCTGTTACATCAGCCTGCTGCTAACTTGAGCTCACCGACTCTCCCCAATAACTGCAGATCGTAAAGAAGGACGAATTCTCCACGAAGTGCAACCAGACAGATCACCATCGAATGTCAGGAGGAAGGCAGGAGGTAACAGCGTCCCTTCCAGCCTGGCTGGAAAGAGTCTGTCACTTGCATGTCCATCTAAATGCACGTGAGGCACAGCAGGGTGTGGCGTTACTGTCAGGTCCCAAATCTTTGTGATCTGTGTGGTCATGATGGGAGCTGGGATATGACCCCTAAGGCGCCCACTTGTGTATAATTTTACAGGTATTGGGAAAAACAAAGCTGGCTGATCAGTGGCAATTTCTGTCCTTGAGGGTTTTCTAATGGATAGAAATAACTTGTGGTTTGAATTTGCCCGGGGTAAAACTTGTAGCGGACCAAATTTATCCTCCTCCTGCTGATGCAGGGAGACTGTCAGGTACGGGCTGCACTTGGCCCTTGGGCTGCCCCTTGAAAATCATCACACGCAGATTTGTGTTGTGCATCGCACAATCCAAAGGAACCTCTTTGGCCACTGGGTAAGGCCTGGCTTCAGACTCCAGTTCACTGGACCGGCTCAGTACTCGGACTATACAACCACCTTGTTGGGAGACCTCTGTAATACTGGAGCACTATTGGTTGCTTTGCCGCACCATATGTGCTGCAATAGCCAAACACAACGGAGTGCGTGAAGGACCATTTCTGTCTGTGTGCCAAGGTTACGAGACAATAAACAACCCTCAGCTCCCCACTCCTTAGCACGTGGCAAGATTTGGGTCACTGTGTCCTTGTTCTTCCTATGCCATGTCTGACCCCTCAGGTTGCGTTTTGACAGCCCAGTCTGGAATAAAGCAAGCAGCCTTCACGTTCTTCACAGCTCTCACAGGGTGCTGAGACCTGTGTGAAGTTGGGCCTGTCACAAACAGGCACGATATTAAATATCAGCCATGCTTGCGTGTCTCGTTTTCTTGTAATTATGGCAAGAGGGGTTCCTTTTACTGCCTGTCTGCTGAGACGAGGGATTAAAACCTTAGTTAGCAGTGCAGGAGTAATAGAATTAAATACAGCAGCTCTGCCTGTCAAGAGGAAAAAGCAGATGTATCATGAGAGAGCTTCTCTGTTCACTGCTGCACCGTGTAGGGATGCTCATTGCTGAGAAGTTCAGTTAGGAGTCCATCTAGTTAAAATCTGACTCTGAGTTTTCATACTTCAAACTGTTCCATCTGTGAAGCTAAAAAATCAACCCTTTACCCCAGGGGTTTCCCGGTAGAGGGCCAATCTATTGCTGAGGTAAGTTTTTGGTCAGTTCCGTAGCAGATGAATAATGTGTGCACAGTCCTTTGGAAACAGTGTGTTGGGTAAGTGTGAGAGAGAGCGTGGTAACGGGAGGTTCTGTATTTAGAAGGTAAAGAATGCAGGTTCAGAAGATCACTTGAGAGGCAGATATCTTTAGTGGGGATGCTGTTGTCATGAAATTGTAACTCACCTTAGAGTAGTAGCTTTTCAGAGATTGCTCAGAGCTGCTGTTGAGACTTTCGGGAGGTTTCTCAGAGCACATGAAGGATTTAGGAGCACAAATACTACAAGTCAATGGAATTTATTTTCCTCAATCTTTTAGTGTTTTTGACTCTTCCTCCTTTCTGATGATCAATACGCCATGTAGCATGATCCAGGAGATGGGGTGCAGGACCGAGACAACAAGGACTTGGGTCCCATTCCCAGTCTGACAAGTCACTTCCACTCTGTGCCCCAGTTTCTTTGTCATTAATATGGGGGTAGTGGTCCTGCTCCCCTTTCATGAAGGGCCGTGAGGGCAGGGGATGGGAAGGGCTGTATAAAGTAATAGGTATTTTTGTTTCTGTAACTAGCTGGGCACATGGGCTTTTTCCTCGCTCACTGTCTACGTGAATTCTGTTGCATGGCCAAGAGTGAAGCTGTGCAGCTAAGGCACCATCATAATTATAAAGTGTCTGTGAGTGGCTCGTTGGTTTTACGTGTATCTCCTCTGTGTGCACTGCAGGAATTCCGGACGTGGCTGAGGGAAGAATGGGGCCGGACTCTGGAGGATATCTTCCATGAGCACATGCAAGAGCTCATCTTGATGAAGTTCATCTACACCAGCCAATACGAGTAAGGGGACCAGCTCTTTCCTAACGCTGGGGTTAGGGGCATCTGAACTTGGCCCAGTACACCGCTGTTTTGTTGGTTCAGTCTTCCTGGTTAGCTGATAACCTTGCTGCAACACAAGTGAATGGATCTTTTTCCTTCCACAGATTCCTGTTTTAGGGGCCTCTGCTGTGTTTGTAGAGAGGGTGGTATTTTCTGCACAGAAAATGAACATATGTAATAGTCCTCATCAGGTCCATTACCAGGATTATGATAGTGCCCCAGGACCTTAATTTGGATTGGGCCCTGTTTCACTGAGCAGTGTACAAACACGTGGTAAGACAGTCCCTTCCTGTAAGCGTAGTGAAAGGTAAGATGCAGCAGGGGGACACAGTGATAGGCCATACGGTTACTCGGAATAGCTGTGTGCCCAGTAGATGGCTTTGGGTCATTTGATTTTGTGTAACCTTAAAATTGTACAAGCCTTCCCACCACAGCAAGGTAGTCCCCAGCACAGGATTCTGTGAACGGCTTTGAAAGACACTCATTAAAACACCAAGCAAAGAGATCTCCCTTGTGATCGGGGACCTGAATGTGAAAGTTGGAGCTGTAAGCTCTCATAAAGTAGTAGTGAGAAACAATGGTCTGGGTTTACAAAAGGAGAGAGGAAGGGGTTTAGTTGAATTCTGCTGCTGTAATCAGCTGGTCCTTACAAACACCATCTTCACCCAACACACTAGACGCTTATGCACATGGATGTCACCTGACGGTATGGCCAGCAACGATATTGAGTAGGTAACGATGCAGCAATGAAGGGGATTGAGTGTCTGTGTCGGGGAACTCTTGGTGCTGACTACCAGAGGACACTGGGTGCATAAGGCTTCCACAGATCCCCTGGGTCTGGGATCTATGTACTAGTTCGCCACAGTGTTGTGTAAGGTCTCTACTGAAAGCCTGTGTCACACTGGTCATCATTGTCATTGTGAAATGTATGTCCAGATAATATGTAAGGGGTGTGTGTACACATACGCTGGAAATCAACTTTATAAGGTCTGTGAGTTGGGGCCAGCCCCAGAAGTGGTAAACAAGTTTCTTTCAGGCAGAAGTTTATCTGTCAGTCTGTCTACATGTACATTGAGTATTGTATACTTCATTGTGAAGTATTTACAGGGGATATTTACGCTCTGAGCAAAATGCTAATCAAGTGATTGCAAAGTCTCCAGGGGAAATTACAAACAGGAAAACACAAGCAGGTTTATCCTGTTTGCAAGTGAAAACAGTGGATTTTTCGGACTATAACTGCAGCTAAAGAGACTCAATCTGCATCGTTCACCTAGAAGGTAAGTTGTTTCATTAAAAAAGGATCACAGCCAGGAGAATTTGGGTAAGAGAGATTTCATCCAGGACTTGTTACCTCTCTGCCTCAGCAAGTGAGAGCTTTCTGCCACTATGCTGTATCGGCTCCCTGACACACCAGCCTGTCTGCCTTGCCAGCAAACTCTTCAAGATGCTGCTTGCCTTGCAGGTAACAATCTGAGTTCCCCCAGAGATGTGTCTCTGCAGTGTCCAGACCCTCTCGCTGGACACATGGAAATTATTAGATTTGTTGCTTCCAAAGAGAGAGAGCACACATCAGCCTGTTAGGTTCGCCTGAAGATTCACACTTCGCTTTAATACACAGCACTGAGATGGTTTTGTAATAAAACAAGAATAAGTTTATTAACAAAGGACAGAGATTTAAGTGATACTAAGCAAGAGCAAAAGAGAGGTATGGTTACAGACAAAGCAAAATAAAGCACGCTTTCTAGTGACTAAAGCTTAATTCTAGCAAGTTTCAGTCTTGGCCTAAGCAGTTTTCTTACTCACATCAAGTTACCTGCATCTCCAGCCCTCCAGAACAGGGGAACCAATGTTCACAGAATAAAATGGTGCTGTTCCCCAAGTGATAGAGAACTCAAATGTCTAATTGCTCCCTTTATATTACCCAAAGTCCATTGTCTGTGCCTCAAGAGCCAGGAAGTTGTCCTGGGGTGCAGACTTTGTCCCCTGGTGTTCTTATTAAACTGCCGCTTGTTGGCTTTGTTTACCGTATATGTAAAGAAACTTCCATTGTCCTTTGCCTCCAGTCAGACAGGAGAATCCACATTCCTTTGTCTAGATAGGCTCCATGTATGCACTGCCTCCCAAAGGCATTTTAAAAACCTATTTCCAGCTCTCTCACATTACTCTTCATGCACTACCCATACATGCATCACACAAAGCTTTCTGTGACCAGCGTGTCACCAGTGTATGTGTGGTATCTTACATGACACCTTTTAGACACGTTACGACCAGGGCCGGCTCCAGGCACCAGCCTACCAAGCATGTGCTTGGGGCGGCACCTGGAGGGGGGCGGCACTCAGGCCCGAGAGCGGGCCGCAACTGGGCTCTCCACCCTCCCCGCGGCGCTCCGGCCGCCGGGGAGAGCAGAGCCGCAGCGGGCTCACCGCCCTCCCCCGGCGCTCCGGCCGGCCTGGGAGAGCGGGGCCGCCCTCCCCCCGGTGCTCCTGCTGCCGGGGAGAGCGGGCCCGCGGCCGGGCTCTCCGCCCTCCTCCCGGCGCTCCGGCCGGCCAGGGAGAGCTGGGCCGCGGCTGGGCTCGGCGCCCTCCCCTGCCGCACTCCCCGGCAGGGGGCGGCGGGAAGCTTTTTTGCCTGGGGCGGCAAAAAAGCCAGAGCCGGCCCTGGTTATGACTTCAATGTGTTGAGGGTAATGAGTGTGTCAGGCCTGATATGAGTTGCACTACAATGGGCCCTCTGCCAGTGGCTCTTAGATTCATAGATTCTAGGACTGGAAGGGACCTCGAGAGGTCATCGAGTCCAGTCCCCTGCCCGCATGGCAGGACCAAATACTGTCTAGACCATCCCTGATAGACATTTATCTAACCTACTCTTAAATATCTCCACAGATGGAGATTCCACAACCTCCCTAGGCAATTTATTCCAGTGTTTAACCACCCTGACAGTTAGGAACTTTCTCCTAATGTCCAACCTAGACCTCCCTTGCTGCAGTTTAAGCCCATTGCTTCTTGTTCTATCCTCAGAGGCTAAGGTGAACAAGTTTTCTCCCTCCTCCTTATGACTCCCTTTTAGATACCTGAAAACTGCTATCATGTCCCCTCTCAGTCTTCTCTTTTCCAAACTAAACAAACCCAATTCTTTAGGGTCACAGTTAGACAGCAGGGCATCTTGTGAGTTAAGTTTAGGCTCTAGTATGCAAGTTATGATTGTATTTTATACGTAACCCTTTGTTTCCAGTACATTTGAATCTCTGTTCTTTGTTAAACTTGCTTTCGCTACCAACAAATCTAAGTGCTATGTGCGAAGCAGAGCTGAGTTCTGCAGTGTATCTGGTAAGCTGAGGTGTCCTGTTCCTTTTGGGAACAGAGGATCTGAGAATTCTGTAAGTGTCCAGTGCATCAAGGGTGGGGCACTGCACGGAGATGCCTGGGGGACTCACGGTTGGTGGATGTCTCTCGTTGACCTGTGAAGAGAGGGTAGTGCCTATGGAGGCCTGGAGGGCAGTGCTTGTGTTGTCTGAGGCTGATGGTGTTGGAACTGACCCACAGCAGGCACAGACAAGGGCAGGTGGTAGCAAGATGCCTCAGCCCTGGAAACCCCTGGGAAGCGTCACGGTCTAATGGATAAAGACTTTCCCGAGTGCAGACCGTGTGGGTCAGGCAGTCAGTTGTTAGCTTCAAACATAAAATGAAAACTTGAAAGATCAGACGTTTGGCAGATCCACTACGTTTGGATCTGTCCAAAATCAACGAAAACTACGGGACTTCTGTCTAGAACAGGTTTGTGGCATTGGCACAGGAGAAAGAGAACACCCCAAACGCACTTTGGAATAAAATGAAAACTCATGCTCAAAGTTGCCAAAGCACATATTCTGAAAAATCAGCATTGGATCGTAGCATGGCTGACTGAGATGATGTTTGAGCTGGCAGAATAACAATGTAGAGTGAAAAAGAATGGCTTAGAGCAGGGGTCGGCAACCTTTCAGAAGTGGTGTGCCGAGACTTCATCTATTCACTCTAATTTAAGGTTTCGCGTGCCAGTAATACATTTTAACATTTTTAGAAGGTCTCTTTCTATAAGTCTATAATATATAACTAAATTGTTGTTGTGTGTAAAGTAAATAAGGTTTTTAAAATGTTTAAGAAGTTTAATTTAAAATTAAATTAAAATGCAGAGCCCCTTGAACCAGTGGCCAGGACCCGAGCAGTGTGAGTGCCACTGAAAATCAGCTTGCGTGCCGCCTTTGGCACGCATGCTATGGGTTGCCTACCCCTGGCTTAGAGACTGAAAAATGAAGGTGCAAGTACAAAGAACTGAGCAGATGCCTCCAAAAGCAGGTTAGATGAGACAAGAGCAAATACAGAAGAGCAAAATGCACAGAGGTTGAGAGTCACAAAGAGGAATACAAAAGAGATGTTTACAGTGGTTAGACTTACCAAAAAATTTTCCCTGTCATCAGACCCAATAAGAGATCATGATGGTGGAACCCTCACTGAAGGTGATGTTATCAAATGCCAGTGGAGAGATTATTGTGCCAATCTGTATCCCTCCTCAGAGCCACTCGTAATACAGGACAACAGAAAGGAGTATAGAGGTGGAGCCATCGATCCTGGAAGAACAAATCGTGCACGCTAATGTGAAAGTGAAGCCAGGGAAAGCACCAGTGGTAGATAGCATACCAGCAGAACTGTTGAAGTGATTGGTGACTGCGGGGGGTTTTTTGTTTTGTTTTTTTTAGAAAGGTAAGACACTTCGAGTTTGTTGATAAATTTAAGAAAATTATTATGAACCAGACTTGTACAGATCACAGGGAGCTTGTAAACAGAGATACTGGATCCTTTCCATGGAAAGCCTGACAGAGTGCTCGGTATTGATCTTGTGATAAATTTGCAATGCTGTGTGGATGACTAGAAATTGGCCGGACAGCTGGACAAAGGGAATCAATCTTTCTGCCCTTACCAAAGAAAGATTACATAACAGCGTAATAAGAATAGTATCATCTTGTTATCATACACAAGCCAAGTTTTGCTCTAGATAATCCAGGATTGCACAAAGCAAAGAATAAAAGCAGAATTTCCATCACAACAGGATGGTTTCAGAGAGGGATGAGGCACGCATGATCAAATCGTGAACATCTGTCGCATCATTGAAAAGTGCAGGACGTATAATCTCCCACTGAGGTGATGACACAGTGCTCTTTGCTACAACCACTGAGGGAATGCAAGGAATGTTGGAGTCTGTTTTTAATATAGACTATCCCTGAATGAGGTGAAAATGAAATGCATGCACATCGACATGATTGACAAAAATGGAATGCACGAGGACAGCACGATTAAGTCAAGTTGTGGAGGCACTCGATGAATTAATCTATATACATGTCTGGGATCACACATATCCAATCAAGAAGCCTGTTCCAAAGAAATCAGAAGACAACGAGGAACAGCTCATCAGCAATGGCTTCCCTTACAAAAGTTTGGAAAAACCATGGTGTCTCAATATACGAAGGTTTAACTGGTGAAAAGCTTAATTTTCTCAATAGCGACCTATGGATGTGAATCGTGGGAAACTAACGTTGCTGACAAAAAGAAAACGGAAGCTTTTGAGATATGGTTCTGGCGAAGACTCTTGCATATCTTCTGGATGGAGAAAACAAATGTTTGTTATACAAATACTATTGGAGAGAAGCCACCCCTCCTCTTGGAAATCAACAGGCGCAAACTTGTGTACTTGGGTTACGTCAGGCATGGAGATTAAAATAACCCTGAAAAAATGATCATGGAAGGAATGATGATGGGTTGTCGTCATAGGGGACAACCAGTGAGGAGATAAAGAGGATGTGCAACAGCTGCTGAGTGTTCAAAGCTAGCAATGGTTTGAGAAGGCTTCCAAAAGGTCTGCTCTGATGTCACCAATGTTCAGACATGAATAAATGTATCTTACTGAATTTTAAAATGGTGTGAATATCAACCATCCCTACAGGCCATCTGCTGATTATATTTTTTAGCAGGAAATATGTTTTATTTACAAATTACACAGTCCCAGCTTCTGGGAACGTAACAACTAGCAGTAAATGTCATTTTCAGAGCTATCAGAAGTTAATTGCTTTAACAGATATTTAAATAGGCTCCACTCACCTTGGGTTCTCCAGTGCCGCCAGAAATAGGGGTGGGTGGACATGCTGTAGCTTAGGTACAAGTGCAGCCTTTGCCGATTTGACAGATCTCTTAGCCAAACGGACTCTTTGGAGGTGGTAAAGGGGGGTTGGGAGAGGTGGGGTAGGAGGAGGTGTGCTATACAAAATGTGGAGTCCTTTTTAAAATGCCAGAAAGTGAAGATCTTGCCCCTTTTGTTAAAGAATCTCTTTAGAAGATCCAAGGCAGGCAAGGGGAGTGGAGGGCAGCCTAAGTTCTTGGCGAAGAATCAATATCGCGTTGTTCTCTTGTAAACTGCCTGACCAGCTTCTGTTCCACAGCAACTGCTTGACGTACCGACGCATCTACCTCCCTCCTAGCAGCCCTGACGACCTCTTAAAGCCAGGTCTCTTCAAGGGAACTTACGGGAGCCACGGCTTGGAGATTGTCATGCTGAGTTTTCATGGGAAGAAAGCCAAAGGGACTAAAATAACCGTGAGTGGTTTTTTTCTCTCTCCCGAGCTCCCCGACGGGTTCCAACTGCCGTGGAATCAGGATAGTAAACTGCAGCCCTTCTCGCTCTCCCTTGCGTCGGGGATCTGTGTGAGAGGTGATCATCGGGGGTAGGGAAAGGCGGATGCAGTGGTTAGGGCACAAGCCTAGGATCTGGGAGACCTGGTTCCATTACCTGCTCGGCCAGACGGCCTGTGTGACCTTGGGCAAGTCGCTAAGGCCCAGATTCTCAAAGGTATTTGGGCTCCTAGCTTCCATTGATTTTGTTGGGGTTTAGGGGCCTGGGTATTACACTGACTTGTTCCTCAGTTTCCTATCTGTAAAATGGGGATAATAGCACTGGGATGCTGTGAGAATAAGGCGCTCAGACACTATGGTGATTGCAATCAGATAAGTAACTTAGAGAAGGGTATAATAACTTTGTCACAGCAGAGCCAACTTACTTGGGGGATTGGTGGGAATAAATTCATTGTTCTGTAGGAGCACGTACAATTTCCTGGGTTGAGGACACTCGTTAGCCTGGCTGTTCTCAGCCTTTGGGGAAATGCCATCTAGGCAAATAGTCCAATGCCAGGATTTTCCAGAATGCTGAGCTACTATCTGTCTTGTCTTCTGCCTGCACAGCAGCGAAATCCTACCGTGCAGAGCTGCTGCTGGCCTGTGAAATGCTTTTCAATCCAGACTACCTTCCCCCCACCCCCAGTCCATTCTGTGGGAACATCTGGTTATGAGCAGATTACCTGTATCTGAGATTCTCATTTCTTCCCCCCCCCCCCCGCCCTCCCAAACACTAGCAGCCATGCACTGAGACCAGGCTGATAAACTCTCCTTCCTTCCCCCTGCAGGGAGTGGTCGTGATTGAAAGCCATTCTGAAATTGACTGTCCCCTTCAACTTTGCAGGGCTACCCTGCCACGTCACCAGCCACTCAGTTTGTCCCATCTGTTCTGAACAAGTCTCCACATACTGGTTGGGCCTTGGTGGCGTATCCCAGGTGCAAGGGGGTGATGCAGGCAGCTCCAGGGGCTTGTGCTGCTGGGATTTGGGTGGGACCTTTTAATTGACAAGCAGGGGGGGTGCTGTTGTGGAACTGGGCATTGCCAGGGTGAAGGAAACTTGTTAGCCAGCTGCAGCGGTACAGGTGTCTGAGCTTTTGGCATGAGCTCTGTGCCGCAGTGTCCTGAAGCATGGTTTCTGTTCCTTGCTGCAGGGAGATCCCAATATCCCAGCTGGCCAGCAGACGGTGGAGATCGACCTGGCGCACCCCATCCAGCTCCCTGACATCGAGAACCTGTGCAACTTCAATGAGCTCTCCCGCATCGTCCTGGAGGTGCAGGAGCAGGTGCGCCGGGAGCAGCAGGAGGAGGAGGAGGAGGAAGGGCAGGACGAAGAGGAGGGCCGCTCCCGACAGGGTGACTCGCAGCAAGCAGAGCAGCCTGCGCAGAAGGACGATGCTGGGGCTGAGGGGACTGAGGCGGCAGGGGCAGCAGCAGCCCAGGAGTCGGCGCCAACCTCGCAGCCTTTCGTGCTGCCCGTGGGAGTCATATCAAGGAACGAGGATTATCCCCGGACCTGCCGGATGTGGTAAATGAATGTGGTTAATCAGCCTTTCCTACGCGCCCTGCCCCACGCAAGCAGCTGAGACCTGCTCGGGAAAGAGGCCCCGTTATTAGCACTGCTCCCTCATCGCCCCTCCCCTGCCCAGACGGGACATCCAGCCTGAACCCAAGGGGAAAATATAGGGGTGAAAACCCCCCAGAGCCTTTCTGCACTGACACCCAAAGCATGTGTTGTGATCTTCACCCCCCTGCCCCAGCGCTCAGTCTGAGCTTACCATCTCTTATCAGTACTCTGTCCTCTACGGCTCCATCTAGTGCAATCTCCTTTGCTCCTTTTATCTCCTGGCAGATAGTGAGCGGTGGGGGGGGCTTGTGTCCCTATCTCACCTCCCCTGCAGATCCTGCCCTTATCGTGCCTTGGGGCATAATCCCTCCTGTATTTTCCCTTTATTGCTCTGTTTCTCCATGAGCCACTTGCCCCTTTTCTCCCTGTTTCTCAGGATCCTCCCTAGCTGGGTCCTACCCGTGCATCACACTTGTCTCCCGAGACCATGGGAATGTGCTGCCCTTTCCCGCTGACCCAGCTTCAGGGCTTGTGCGCTTTGGGCCCAATCCTGCAAGGTGCTCAGCACCCTCAATGAATGGGAGCTGTGGGGATGCAGAGCACCTTGCAGCATGATTGAGCCCTTTCTTTTCAGATCGTGGGGGTGCTGTCTTCAGTGAGGCACTTTGCTAAATAAAGGGGTGGGGGGAAGAGTCTGGATCTAAACAGAAATGACCCTCAGCCAAACATCTGTGCTAACTATTGCAGCGGGTCATTCCAGGAATCCACAAAGGCCCAATTCCAAACTAGAAGCAACACACTGTTCAGATGTGCCCTTCCCACTGCGTGCTAAGGGCTTTGCACTGAACTTTACCCACCTTTCCTCCACAGCCAGGATGTGGCCTGGTTACACGGGTCTCATGCCCCAGGCCGATCAGCCTTTGTATAGTCTGGTTTGATCCTTGAAATGGAAGTCAAATCCTCGTGTGCAGGGATGTTAGGTTAGCTCCCATGTACCGATCCTTAGCGTAGTCAGATACTGTAGCTGCACTTAAAGGAGCAGGTGCGTGTTTGTAGGATTGTTCTCATGCTTGTGAAGATGGAGGCAATCGCACTTCATGCTGCGGGGCGCGAGCTGATTGATTGCTTCAAAGTCAGCAGGTAAAACTCCCCCCTTTGTGCAGCATGGCATATCTACTCAGGTGCTTTCTGGGGTCGTTTGATTTTCCTCTGAACCATCAGGTCCTAGCCACTGGTGGCTGGTCTAGATGGACCTCAGGTTTGCTCTGATACAGTAAATTCATCTTAAGCTGCCACAATGGTGCAGTCAGAGGCTTTTTCATGTTGTTTTCCCTGCTTCTTTCCCTCTCTGTAGTTTTTATGGCACGGGGCTCGTTGCTGGACATGGCTTCACCAGCCCTGAACGAACGCCGGGCATCTTCATTCTCTTCGATGACGATCGTTTCGGGTTCATCTGGCTGGAGCTGAAATCCTTCAGATTCTACAGCCGGATCAAGGTCTCTTTCCAGAACGCCGAGGCGCCGTCCCGAGAGGCCTTCGATGAAATGCTCAAAAACATTCAGTCGATGACTACTTGACAGGCGGCCCCTGGTGGACAGAGGAGGGATTGCAAAGAAGGCTTCTGCTCTCTCCTGCCAAGGACAGAACCCCGGCCTCTGGTACCTCTGAACAAAAGCATGCACTTTTCAATAAGGCCTTTTTGCCAAAATCTACACATCCCTGTTAGAATATAAACAGAATCCCCACACTGCTCCCTGGCAGTACTTTCTATATAGTCTGCGACACAGCTCTGCATAGTGGGAGGGAACCTACACAGGAGGGAAATGAGCATGCTCGCATTTTTAAAAGAATGTATCAGAGCAAAATTTCTTAGAAGCCAACGTTGAGGAACATGTAAATAATCGACATAGCAGATATAATATATACATGCTCTCTGCTCTAGCCATAGGCGCATCCCTACAGAAGGCAAATCCTTCAGTGAAGTGTCATGTTCAATCTTTCCTGCAACCGGCCCAATCTAATAATTTGAAGACTTGATCACCCCCCAAAAACCCAACACCCCCACCTGCAAATTTGCTGCCAATTTATTGCGTGGCTCAAAAGTGACTAATAATGTGTGTTTTGCCCCCCTCCAGGGCCCTTCCTCATAATGCAGCCTTGATGGAAAAACAGACCCGAGGTAGCTCTGCCCTTGGTTTGGGAATCAAAGTGGGATTCAACAGTAAGAGGGGATTTCCACTGCAAACAGCTCCACAGGTACCCTCGTGCTGTCTCCCAAAGCTCGCTGCTCCCATGAGCTTCTTGGACTCTAGTCCGAATCTGACTAGAAGCCAAGGGGGAATCATAGCTTCCTTTATAGGGCCCCAGTCTGGAACGCCAGACAAAACCAGTTCAGATTGGAGGAGAATCTTATGCAGTTTTAGCTCATTTTAAGTGGATCTTTTTAAAGACTTTTTTAAAGTTCTCCTTTTAAAGAACTAAAAATCCTCTAAATATGGTGAACTTCTGACCTTCACCTCCGCACGCTTGCTGGATGGCAGCCGCTGTGAAATGTAATTTCTGGCTAGGCCAGTGCCTGTGATCTGGTATTTCCCCCTGTGCAGCGTAAATGAAGCAGTTAGGAATTCCATGGTGCTGTGGTTCAGTCTGATGCCTCTCAGCAGCTTTTCTGACACTTCCCCGGGGAACGTTTTGTTTATTTTTCAGTGCCCCTGTAGACTTCTGTCTCTGATGGCTTCCCCTGTTCCTGTACTGCAGGGTTCTTGTATTCTTTCCCCTACCTAACACGGATTTCTCTTCTAGTGACACCATCTCAGAAAGCTTTTGCTCTTAATTTCCCATAGCTACTCTTAACATAGCTATCTGAGCTCTACTGGAAGGTGCAGGTAGATGGCAAGGAGTCCAGAATTCCAACCGCCATCTCCTCCCTGGCAGTGTTCTGCTTCAAAAGCAAGGAGCCTCAGAGACCCGGTAGGTGACTGTAGGTCAGGCAGTAGGTAACTGTGCAGCAGAAGGATTATGGTTCAGGCTCTATATCTCTTATCCACCGCACAAGTTTTCCAGACACTTTTGTTCTCATTAGCCTTGGGTAGGAAGAGACACTGGAATCCCCAACTGAACGAAGAAGGAGTCGAGGTGAAACATATCAAGAGAACTGCCTTCCTTTTCCAGTTTCCTCCATCTCTTTGCCCTGAGCCTGGGATCAGGGGCTGGAAGAACCGCAGCCACGAGGCAGCTGATGGATAACTCTGTGCCTTTCTAACATCTCTCCTGCTATTTATCACTTGTCAGCTATTAGAGAAGCGATCTCCCCAACAGCTTCTGTTGGGGGTAGATTGTGGGGGAGGGGAGTATAAGGAAAGGCTTGGCTCCAAGTGAAATCTGCGTCCTTTGTCCCAATCCCTTTTGGGGAGGAGGAAGACTGTTAAAGATTGCGTCTTTCAACCCCCCATCAGGGCGCCTCCATTGGTGGGACGACTCCTTGTCTCGCGGGTTCTCCCCCTTTCCACCTTTGACAGTGGAGTGGGATGATTTTCTGCTGCTTTCGTGGGAAAGACTCACTTCTTGGCTGATTTCACTGATAACAGGAAACTTATTCCCTCCTGTTGCAGTTTTGTTGCTGCTGCTCCAACTTCAGCCTTCCCGTCATTCCCTTCCTGAGCTGCATGTGAACAGTGGTGTCCCTCAGTGGCTCAGAGCAGCAGGTTGTGTCACTCATGGGACTAATCCCTATCATATCAAGTTGCATGAATCTGTGTGGATCAGAAAGCAGTTCTGGGCACTTCTCCTTCCCTTCCTACCCAATCGTCCCTAGCATGAACCATACCGAGGTATACATCAGAGTGAGAGGGTCTCTGGAATGTTAGTAGCATTCGTCTGAGCCTGCCTCGTTTGTATAGCTTATCCAATGTAGCTCTTTACATGTGCTTGAGGGGCTGTGCCTCTTTCTACCCCATCAGGAGGGAGAATTAGCTTTGGTCTCACACCATTGCTAAGGCTGTGGAATGCTGGCAAGGTGTTTATTTCTCTGGTCATTGGTGCGTGGGCACAGGCTAAAACCAGCTTCTCAACCTTCGCTCTGAATTTCCTTTTTGTCCTTCACACCAGACGCTCAGAGCTGCACCTGTGCAAATGCACAAGCAAAAAGGAGCACTGGCTAGTGCGGGTGCAATTGTGCAGGCTAATAGGTGTCTGTGGGTGTGAGTTGCCTGGTAGGCATTTGAGCAGCCAGTTTCAGGTCTAATTTCTAAGGCAATGTGTCCATAACTGCCCTATTTTACATATGCAAATCAAAAATCTGGCCCTTATCGTTTTGACAGACTCTCCTGAATTGTTTCTACAGTAGCACTTAAAAATGAACCTGCATTTAAAACAATATGGACACTTGACTTGAGAGATTCATGACTCCTTTGGAGTTGTTCCATCAATCATGTAAATACAAACAGACCCTTACATTGACTTGGTAGCCGATCTCAGAGTGGAACAAATCTCTCGTGCATTCTTACCCAGTTCGGGGAATGTGTAAAGATAACGTGTACACTAAGATTTATTAAAATGATGTTATGGGTCGTGATTGCCACTTAGATTCCCCTGTATTTCTGAGTCTGGCTGCGGAGTGGGGTGGTGGGGTAACCCTGCGTTTGTTACCTGTGGCCCCCAGACATCCTGCAGTGGAAGACGGGGGAGGGGGAACTTTTCACAAATATAGTCTCGATGCTTGTGTTCGAGTCCTCTTGTTAGGCTGTCAGCGCATGCCCAGCAGTGTCTGATCTCCAGACTGGCACAATGCCCCCACTTGGAGCGTGTCGCTCCATAATATTTTAATGGCAGCTTTCGAGTTCTTCTGTGGATGCCCTTTGAACTCGAGATGTGCTTGGCAGGGTGGCCAGCTCCTCACCCAGTGAGAGGGCTGTGCAGAGATCTGCATGTGCTGCAGCTGCTTTTCAGAGACTTTCAGAACCTCCTCTCATTTATAGGGTGCCCGACTAACTTCAGTGTCAGAACGTACCAGGCCGAACTGCTGGTACATCATGGTTTTTATTCTCTTGCTGGAGAATAGACAGTGACTGGAATCTGGGCTAATGCCAAAAAAAAGCCCTTCAAGCTTGTGACATTTCAGAAGCGAATTCCCTTTGATCTGGCCCTGTGTGAATGGAAAGTTGGCAGAGGTCTGAAGCCATGGAAACTGGTACTTCACCTCTGGGGAGCAGTGGCCTTCCCTGCTACAGTCTGTATAGGGGCCCTTTGGACCAAGGTGTATCCATGTTTTGCAGGGAAAGGTAGAATAAAGAAAAGCTGCTGTGAAGAGTTTGACCCAACAGCTTTCAGAGTCAGGCTGCAGAAGGGCAGAGTGAGAGAGAGGAGTGGCACTTGGCAGGTGTAAGCTATACACAAAAAAAAAAAAAAATCCAGTTCAGCGGTATAGTCTCATTGGTGGAGTGGTAATTTTAAGCAGTGTCTTGCCAGTCATGGAGGGGTCTGGCCACAGTTAGTGCCTGCTCCCATGACAGCGTGCACAAGTAATAGTGTCCAAGGTCTAGTCTGGCCGTACTAATTCATGCAGGCTGTGACATGCCCTGGAGGGTGAGATTTTATATCATGTGCCCTGCTAGCTTCCTGAGCCCTACTGGCAACGTAGCCAATGACAAATCAAGATTTCTCCTCCCTCCCCCCCCCCCAGGAGAATGCCACTTACTGCAAAAGGGGCCCAGCGAGACCCTCTGCTTGTGTGAAAGCTGAGTGTGGGAAGCCACCACAGAACATGGCTGTTGCACCTGTCAGCCTGAGTTTCTCTAGTGAGAGCTTTAAGCAGTGGGGTCCCCCCCCTCCAACTTTCAGCGGAGGCAGATGATATCTGGGTTGGCAAAACTGACGTGTGACCGCTGGCGTAGTCACGGGTAAATGGACTTTACCCCCCTTCTCGTTTGGGGAATATGGAGTTTAGTTTAGGTTATTTACCCACTTTTTTTACCGTACGCCACTGTAACGATGCATCCAGCGCCAATGTACAGCAGTTTGTAGTGCTGATGCATTTGAGGATAGACATCAATACAGAGCTACTGTAACGCTCTTCAGAATGAGAACTGACCCCTTTTGTAATGTACACTTCCGGTCCGCCTGAAAGTGAATGCCACTCATGAGGCCGGGGTGGCTGAGCGATGGAGGTGTTTGTATCACTGTGAAATTTTAAAGCTGCGGGTAGGGTTGATTCCTGACAACAGTTTTTACAACAATAGGAAAACAGCGTCACTCCTGGTGGGGGAAGCTTCTCGCTAGGGACCATCTCCCGAGTGTTACAGTGCCTGCATCATAGCGAAGCAGCGGGACTGAAGTGGTGACACTTGGGTAGACCCATCACTTGCAAATGGAGTATGGTCTGTTGTGCCCCTGAAAACTGGGGTGTGAAACCCCTGTTTAAAAGTATTTAAATGATGGCATAACCGCTCTGTACTGTAGATCGGCTTGAAAAACTTACTGGTCTCTCCACCTGAACTGATCACTGGGGGGGTGGGGAAATAGATAGTCTTACTCCAAGCTCTCCTCCTGTTCAGTAGACCCCTTGCTTTTAGTCCAGATCAAGGTGATATTTTACCCAGCATTAACAGGACTCTGCACCAGTCTAGTCCCTCCAAGCCAATGATCTCCAAATATTTTACCAAAAGCTAAGGGCTGCTGTTGCATGGGGGACCGATCCAAAGCCCATTGGAGTTGATGGAAAGACCCCCATCGACTTCAGTGGGTTTTGGCTCATGCCCAGAATGCTTGCAGGATTGGGCCCTCTCTGAGTGGCTCCAAATGCCTCCACCAGCCCTCTGCTTCACCCGCGGGGAGCTTGTATAAAAGCCGGGTCGGCTGTTGTGGCTGGTAGCACAGGAGACCTTCTCAGGGGTGTCTGAATCTGCGACGGGGGAAGTGAGCGTGTTCCGTGTTTGTACAGTGCCTAGCACGGTGGGGTCCTGCTCCGTGACTGGGGCTCCTAGATACTGTGATAATCCCAATAACCATCTGTGCTACAGAGGCATAGTGAAAGCTGGAGTGTGGAAGCGTGTGGTTGTGGGAAGGGGTTTTCTCTAATTAGCAATGATGTGTAGCATAAGTCCATTTCAAGTGTGTGGAATCCTGTCTCTTGGCATCGGGAGGTTGATGGGCCCCTCTTGTGGGTTAGTTGAAGAATTGTCATTGGGGGTGGTGGTACCATGTTTCCAGGCTCTGTGTTCCTCTGGGGTGAAGGCGTTTGTCCTTCAGAGGAGCAATTACTTACCAGGGAGAGGTCTGAGCTGGCCCAGGATGAGCCTTTTGGTGTTGTTTGCATCTTCTAGGGTGCGACAGAGTTCCCACCTCTTTGGGGGCATCTCCGTTTGCCAGTGTTCGTGCACTGTCCTACGAGTGGTGCTTGCATGGAAACACCTGTTAGAGGAGGCTGAGCCCTGGTCTACACTGGGGGGGGGGGGGGGGGGATCGATCTAAGGCCTGGTCTACACTACGACTTTAATTCGGATTTAGCTGCGTTAATCCGAATTAACCCTTCACCCGTCCACACTACAGAGCCAGTTAATTCGAATTAAAGGGCGCTTTAAATCGATTTCTGTACTCCACCTCGACGAACGGAGTAGCGTCAAAATC